CACTATGGGGTAATTTAGCACGGCCAATCCACCCTAACCTGCACATCTTTGGACTGTGGGAGGAAACCAGAGCACCCGGAGGAAACCCACGCAGACGTGGGAGAATGTGTAAACTCCACACAGACAGTCGCACGATGGTGGAATCGAACCCGGGTCCCTGGCGCTGTAAGGTAACAGTGCTAACCACTGTGCAGGCTATTATAAACTGTGATGGATACAAGCCCAGCCTTTCCCACCTTTTCTCATCAGACAGCCCAACCATTTCTAGATATTCCAGTCAGATAATCCTTGGTTGTATGGCTTCCAATGCATTTACATAGTTTCTTAAATAATGAAACCAATATTGAGATTGGTTGGCTCGCCGAGCTGGTTTGTGAACTTTAATGAAACCAATACTGTACAGCATTGTCGTTTCATTTGACTGTATTCCTGGTGTGGTCTCACTGTATAACACAGAAAAATAGGAGTAGGCCATTTGGCCCTCTTGAGACTGTTCCCCCATTCAATAGGATCATGGCTGATCATCCAGCTCAATCCCCTGTTCCCTGTTTCTCCCCCATCTCTTTGATCCTTTTAGCCCTAAGAACTGTATCTAACTCCGTCTGGCAAACGTTCCTGTTTCCACAGCTCCCACAGAATCTGCCATGTTCAGTTACCCTACAACCGGGCCCAGAGGACACAGGCAAGGTAAACCAGTAGTGTTTATTTCTCTCACTGTTCGAAGAGTTGTCAGCCAGATTTTATACCCAAACTGATATGTTTCCCTCATCTTTCCACCTTCCCCATCTCTCTACCCCCTCCTCCTCCTCGTTCCGCACTCTCCCATTCTCCACTGCCTTCCTCTCTTCCCCTCTTCCTTCCCTCCCATTCCACTCCCCCCCCTTTCTCTGTCTCTTGCCCTCCCTCTCTCTCCCTTCACCCTTCTCCCTCCATCACTCTCCCTCCACCTCTCTTTCTCTGCCTGCTCTCTCTCTCTCTCTCGTCTACTCTCTTCCTCCCTCTCTTTCTCTCGCTCCGCCCGTCCCCTCCCCCCGTCCCCTCCCCCCGTCCCCTCCCCCCATCCCCTCCCCCCGTCCCCTCCCCCGTCCCCTCCCCTCCCCCTCCCCCTCTCCCTCTCCTTCTCCCTCCCCCTCTCCCTCTCCTTCTCCCTCTCTGTCTCTCTTTTCCTCTCTCTCTCTCTCTCTGTCTCTCTCTCCCTGTCTCTCCCTCCCTCTCTTTCTCTCGATCCCCTCTCCCTCCCCCTCCCCCTCTCCGTCTCTCCCCTCCCATTTCTCTCACTCCTCTCTGTCTCTCTTTTCCTCTCTCTCTCTCTGTCTCTCTCCCCACCCCTCCTCCCCCCCCCCCCTCTCTCTCCCCCTCCCTCTTCCACTCCCCCCCCTTCTCCCCTCTCCCCCTCCCCCTCCCCCTCCCCCTCCCCCTCCCTCTCTCTCCCCATTTCTCTTCCACTCTCTCCCTCCCTGTCTATCTGTCCTCTTTTTTTCCTCTGTCTGTCTCTCCCTCACCGCTCTTCCTTCTCTCCCACTCTCTCTCCTCCTCTCTCTCTTCTCTCTCCCTCCCTCTTCTCCTTTCTCCCTCTTCTCCCTCCCTCTCTCCCTCCCTGTCTCCCTCCCTCCTCCACGCCCCACCCTCTTTCGCTTCCCAACCCTCCCTGCCACCCCTCCCCACCGCCGCCCCCCCTCCCCACCGCCACCTCCCCCCGCCCCCACCCACCCCCAGGCCTGTGGTGTGGACTTTGAAATCCGAGCCTTCTGTGCTAAGACGATGGAAGAGAAGATCCACAAGAGGTGAGCCTTGTCCTATGTCTCCATCAACGTTCGCAAAACATGCTGTTTTGGGATGGGGTGGAGGGAGGCGTCACCTCAGAGTAAACCTTGGGGAGAGAGAAAGAGCGCGTTAATGGGAACTATTGATTGTACAGATGTGAACAGGACACTAACAGACAACCTTCACTGACACACTGGCATTCTGTGCATGCTGAACGCATGTAGCTCTAATGTAGCTCCTTGTATGCCAGTAATTCCTCTTGGGCGGAGGGGGGTGCTAAGTGCACAGTTAATTTATTACCGCCAGTCACCCCCCCACCTCAAACGTTCACCTGACCACCTGGAAGGATAAGGGCAGCGGATGCGCGGAACTCCAGTTTTCCCCTCTGTATCGCTCGCTTGGAAATATATCGGCCATTCCTTCAGTGTCGCTGGGTCAAAATCCTGGAACTCCCTCCCTAATGGCACTGTGTAGCTGTCCTTACACCACATGGGACCGCAGTGGTTCAAGAAGGCAGCTCACCCCCACCTCCCCCAGGGGCAATTAGGGACGGGAAGTAAATACTGGGCCCAGCCAGCGACATCCCGAGAAAAAGATAAGGAAAATACAGAATCCTGATTTGCTTTTGATATTGTTATCTGTTACCTGCTTTGCATTTTGTTCATAAAATAATCTATTACGTTTGGCATTTTGCTGTTACATTGTAAGTTACTTTATATTTATATTTGCAAAAGAATCGTCATGGAATCCCTGCAGTGTGGAAGCAGGCCATTCAGCCCATTGAGTCCACCCCAAACTCCCATGAGCATCCCCAAACCCCACAACCCCCAAATCCTATCCCTGTAACCCTGCATTTCCCATAGCTAACCCGCCTAGCCTGCTCATCCCTGGAAATAAGGGGCAATTTAGCATGGCCAATCCACCCTAACCCGCGCATCCCTGGGCACGATGGGACAATTTAGCACAGCCAATCCACCCTAACCCGCACATCCCTGGGCACTATGGGACAATTTAGCACGGCCAATCCATCCTAACCCGCACATCCCTGGGCACTATGGGACAATTTAGCACGGCCAACCCACCCTAACCCGCACATCCCTGGGCACTATGGAACAATTTAGCACGGCCATTCCACCCTAACCTGCACATCCCTGAGCACTATGGAACAATTTAGCACGGCCAATCCACCCTAACCCGCACATCCCTGGGCACTACGGGACAATTTAGCAAGGCCAATCCACCCTAACCTGCACATCCCTGGGCACTATGGGACAATTTAGCACGGCCAATCCACCCTAACC